AGAATTAAAATTCTTGTTAGAAGAGTAGTTGTGTGAAGTATATTATCATTTACATAAACGACATAATAGTTCAAGGACATCATGTCTACTGGTCAAATAGTAAAGTAAATATGTTGTCACAAGGGAAGGTTCAAAGGAAGACACTTACCTATCCTATGCAATTATCGATCGTAGAGTCTATCACCAGATCAAATCAAAATGATTTTGATAAAATGATCAATTTCATTTATGTGGGAATTGTTGGAAAATTTTGATAATTTTGGAGCTTTGAATGAGAAATTAACAAACGTTGTTGAGGAAAATGTGAAACAATTGTTGGTTTGTACATGTGCAGACATGCACGATGTGAGTAACATGAATGTCCGAACTAGTCGGGCTCTTTGTGATCTTGCGGATATTTTAACCCAAACGTGAAATAGTTTTCTTAAATATAGCACATCTTTTCAAAATTTGTTTTGAAATTAAAATGATAAATATTAAAAGATTCTTTTAATCAAAATATTAATTTTAGAATTGCTTGATTTTCATTAATGTTTCATTAGGTAAAAAAATTCAATTGTTCGTAAGGTGAAATTCCTTTAAATACCGTGTAAACCTACTAGGTTAAACACAATTCAAAACAACTCAAAAATAATTCAAAAAATAATAATTTTCTTTTATTCTCCTTTAGTTTTGTTTTATAGACGAAGGTAATGAATAGTTCATGATCTTAGCAGCAGTGCAACTGTAATTGATCATCTAATTTTTGTATCTTGAGAGATAGAAAACCAACGATCTTAAGCACCATACGAGTGACCGAAAATTTGTCTTAAGGAAACTGTGTAGCTGTAGGTCTCAACTCATTTCCATTTAGTTTTTCTGTAAAAATCATGTATTTATCTCTGTATTATTCCTGTCGATTATTGAAATATATTTTTCTTTTATTTTATCGTCTCGGATTATTTTACTTCTGATAATCCTATGCTTCCTAAATATATTCCTAATTTGGAGTCAATGCAACCAAACCTGTTATAAGACCACGCCATTTTCTCCTAGTGTGGTGAGGAAGAGGAGACGGCAACCCAGATACTCACGGGAGCAAGAAAAAGAACTGGTAGAACCAAAATATTTATTTTTTCTTCACATCAATAAAAAAATCTTAAAAATAAATTATGATTTTAATTCTTTTACTATATTTATGATTGATATTTAATTTCTACTTTATTTTTCAATACCAACATGGAAAATTATAATAATTATTAAAAATACATATTATTATTTTAACCAAAATATAACTTTTTAAAAATACATATCATTATTTGAGCTGAAAATTTTAATAATATTTATTTTTTAAGACATGATAAAAGTTTTGATATTAAATCTTTAGTTGATCTCATCTCAGATTCCATATTCTAATAATTTTTTCTTCTGCTGCTGAATCAAAACCACGACTTGTAAACATAAAAACAACAACTTATATTTAATTAAAATTCACTGACCTAAAGTTAAATTTAAATGTAATAAAAAATATATTTTGATCAAATATTATGAACATTATTCTAATATACGTGGAGATTGTTGAAAGTATTATTCCGAATTTTAATTAGCTAAAACTAAAGCAATAATCAAAACAGTAAGTTATCTACTAAGAGAGAGAGAGATAGGAGGAGGAGGTGTGTGTGTGTGCTTTTTTTTCAAAATAAAAACTTACATCTACATCGTTCGAAATGAGCGATGCAAGAAGTAAATTAGTAAAAGAATCCAAAAAAAAAAATACTGTAAATAAACATATTGAGAAGAGCAATTTTAGAAATAAAAATCTCATGTGAAAGGGTAAAGTCCAAGGCTATTTTTTCGGTATATCATCGGTGATCAGTATTATTATCGATTTAACATCAGTCAGATTATATTTTTCGATCTAACACCCTTAACAGAAAAGCGCCCCCCTTACACCGCGCTATATGCTGATTTGACGCCACGTGGGTATAGCGCGCCCCTTACCCCGCGATATACAGTGATCTGGCGCCACGTGGGTATAGCGCGCCCCCTGATCCACGCTATACGCCATGTAGAGGTATAGCGTGGATCAATGGCCGCGCTATACGCCGTACCAAAATTATATTTAACGCGGTCCTTATTCCGTGCTATAACTTTTAATAATTACATATAACGCGTTGCAGGTACCGCGCCTTATATGCTTATAAATACACTCCTCCGGCTCACATCTCCTCGCATCTCTCCTCTCTTATAAATTAATACAACAATTCCGTCAACGAGTAATAATTCTCGCAATCTTCTCAAATTTGATTTAGAAGTTCGTACGATTTTTCGTTATAAATTAATTTTGTTATAATTTTTTAATTATACTTATTGTCATTATTTGAAAAAATATTATACTAATTATTTTCAATTAATTTTTATGTTTGTAAAATTGAAAAGCGGGAGCATACGTCGAAATAGTTTTGCGGTGCAGGTAATAATATAAAATTATATTATTTAAATTATTTACGTTGATGTGTAAAAAATTTATTGTGTTATATTTTCGTTCATATATAATTTATTTAATTAGGTTTGTTTAAGTTAATTTTTTTTTGCAGATATAATATTGCCGCACTTTTAAACTCAAAGAATGGCGCGACTTTCAGCTATTGTTTATTATGATGGTGAAATTCGAGAAGATGAAGTCAGCGTTTTTTTCGTATCCAATGAGCGTGTTAAAATATCATTTAAGAGAAACATAACTCTTGAGGAGCTAATAACGAAGATTTCGAGGAAGATTTATGTTGGAAGTAACAGAAGAATGTCGTCGTTGCAGTACAGATTTCCAACATCATTGTTGCCATTAACTTATACAGCGTTCGAACTTTCGAACAATGATGATGTTCAAATGATGGTTGAAGCTCAAAGTAATTATTCAGACGCTGCTATTGAGATGTATGCACATTTTGTTCAAGTGCGTACTGTTCGGGGTCAATCTTTAAGCTCACACTATAGGCTGGCTGAACAAGTTGATCAAGTTGACAGTCCGACTACAATAATGTGTAACGATTTTAATGCTATAATGGGAAGACATTTATCCGCAACTCCTTACGATATGTACCGAGGTAGGTCCACGAACAATCCGCGCCCCCTGCACCGCGCTATACCCTACGTGTCAGATATCCAGATATAGCGCGGATCAGGGGGCACGCTATACCCACGTGGCGCCAGATCACCTTATATCGCGGGGCAGGGGGCGCGCTATACCCACGTGGCGCCAAATCAGCATATAACGCGGTGTAGGGGGCGCGTTTTTCTGCTAAGGGTGTTAGATCAAGAAATATAATCTGACTGGTGTTAGATCAATAATAATACCAATCACTGGTGATATACCGGAAAAATAGTCAAAGTCCAAGCAAAGGTCCCTACGTCCTATCGAAACCCATGGAAAACCTAAGAAGCATTAAATCCTATATCTTTGCTTTTAATGTTAAACAAACAGACATCTAGGTATGTGACCACACCAAATTTTCCCGAGAAAGGGAGGGATCCCAAAGACGAAAGTTTCAGAGACACTTGGCTGGGATACTGCCACGTGCTCCAATATAAGTACATGCATTTTCATTTTAGATACCAAAGTACTATAAAAAGCCAAGTGGTCAGGATTAGTTTAATAATTCATCTTCATTCTTGATTAATTAATAATAATCCTTGCTTCGAAATTGTTCCCCTTCAAGCTCACAAATTAAAGAGGGTTCCCTAAGATAACTTAACTTAAAAAAATAATATCGAGCGTATTCCATTTAACAGTTAATAAGTAGCCCACAGTATTGTTTCAGCCTTAAACCCTAGCCATTAGTTTCCCCAATAAAATACTAATTAAGGCAAGAAGATTATGCAGACAAATGTAAACATAATGTTTCCTAATTTGTAATACAAAACACAGCTTTTATTTTTTTTAGCGAACTTGTACATTTATCCCTTTTTTTCAATAGAGATGAGCCTAATATCAACGTTACCATCGAGTTTTATCAGGAAATCAGCGACCATGTTTGTTTTCCGTCGAATGAATTTAAAATTAACCTGCCAAATTCTATCGAGTGGATGAAAAATATCACGTACCAAAGAGATTGGAGGCTGACATAAAGATACAATATGCAGTTATCCTTTGAAGATTATATATATATGATAATAAAACATTAATATTCATATTTCGTTTCATATATTATCTTTTTTAAAAAGAAAATGACAAGAGCCGTAATTAACAAGCAAGAGAGAGAGAGAGAGAGAGAGAGAGAGAGAGAGAGAGAGAGAGAGAGAGAGAGAGAGAGAGAGAGAGAGAGAGAGAGAGAGAGAGAGAGAGAGAGAGAGAGAGAGAGAGAGAGAGAGAGAGAGAGTTTTATAACTAAATAAAAGCATGACTGAGAAAAGTGGTCAATGCAAATCGATTAAAAAGGCTTACATATGTGTATCGGATAACCTGTAAATTGTTAAGAAAGAAATCTCATTGGTTATGCCACTGAAGGGCTGGCTCCATTGCTGTTGAGTCAGCATTCTGGCTGTAACATGTTTGGGGTTCATGATCTATGGAATTGCTGCAGGAGCACTTGAAGCTAAAAGAAAAACAGACATTCAAGGGTATATACACACATGTATATATGTATACATATAGAGAATCTGACATGCACACTAAAGGGACAAGTTCAGTGATGTGGACCAGTATTCCAGCTCTTTAATCTCTGCAGGCCACGGAACATATTTGTGTGGGGGTCCTCCTTCTCTCTCTCTCTTTTTCCTTTGCTTTTAATCTTCATTTTAGATGATTATATTAAGCTTAACCCCATATTTAAGAGATTATGCAATTGAGGTTTTATGTTCGATGATGAAATAATCTCAAACACCCGATGATCAAAACTGTTTCGGTGTAGGCTCGAGGGAAGATTTCAAGCAAACAAAGCCGTCAAGTGATCTCAAATACACATCAAATTAAGTTTTACATTTAGCCTATTCACTTGAGGATTTGTTTTAATCAGTTGCAGAGAGAGAAAGAAAAAGATAAGACAGTGTCGCAATAATCAAGGGCTGGACTGGACCAATGTGCAGGGTCTGAGAGAGAACTAACATGGCCTTGTCGGTTGTTCTGTAATAAACACTAAATCTCTCGGTGTCACCACCAGTAATCCCTGATGGCCAATACTGGCGATTTTGAGTAGAGACCAACCTACATGTTCCTTAAATAGATGGATTTTACAAGCCTGGATGGGTAAGTAGGAAGCCAACTCTCTTTTTTTCCTCCGTTGCAGATCTCATTTCCCATTCTTAATCTTTGCTAAAACATGCTTCTTTGCAATGGCAGTGCAGTTAAGCGAGTTCTTACATGACCAAACTAATCAACCAGTGCTCTCAATCAAGGTAGGTTTTTGCCAAAGCTAAGGGTCCCATATTTCATATTTATACAGTATCATTTCACTGTTTGATTTTATGCTTTTTCTTTACTTATCCATAATTTTTTTTCATTTGTCTTTTACACTTTGCTCGCGTCTTGATGAACAGGGAAAATGGAAGTTGTAATCAAATGAGATGGTGGGTTTAGCACTAAAACGTGGAATTCAGAATAAGAGAGAAAGGGACATAATTTTGGGGTTAAGCTACTGATTTAATTGTGCAGTACTTCCATGATGATGATGGGTTTGAAAAGAAACACTATTAACAGTTTATATTTTAGTTTAATAAAGGGGTTGTTGAGATCAAAGAATTTAGATCTAGGTTTTACATTAGAAAGAAAATCAGAGTTAATGGAACTGAGAGACCAAGATAAGGAGATGGGGATGCCATTGCCAAGCTCTTTTAGTTATAATAATCAACTCAACAGGGATTCTTCCACAAAGGTCTATCCTTCTTCTTCTTCTCAACCTATAAATTCAAGTGTTCATGGCGACTCACAAACCTTCAATCCAAGGCCAACACAAACCCTAAACAATTGCCCTCTCTACAACCCTGAAACGAATCATCATATACAAGTAAGCAAACTCAGGAGGGATCTAGACCCGGAAATAGATCCAGGATCAGCTTCGGCCGGTGGTGGAAGAGCTAATAGATCAAGCTGCAGCCCACTACCACTACCTCTAACATCTCCGCCTCAACCAGTAAGCTCTACTGACCCTTTGATTAGGTATAGGGAATGTTTGAAGAACCATGCAGCCAGCATGGGGGCACATGTTTTGGACGGTTGTGGCGAGTTCATGCCGAGTGGAGAACAAGGCACCATGGGAGCCTTAAAGTGCGCAGCCTGTGAATGCCATAGGAATTTCCACCGGAAAGAAATCAATGGGGAATCACAATATGCACCACCACCACCCAGCCGTTACCATACAGGAAAGAACAGTGTTGTTCATCTTCAACAACCAACCCCTCTTAATCAGCAAAGATTCCCTCTTGGATTATCCATCAGTACTTCTTCCACCGCCGTACCAATTGCGCCGGTTATGATGAACTTCGGTCGTGATGGCCGCTATGGCGGTGGTCGGACAGAGTCCTCGAGTGAAGATCTGAATATGTTCCATCAGGGAGGGCAATCACCACATTATATTATTCCACAGTCATCAAAGAAGAGATTTAGAACAAAGTTCAGTCAAGATCAAAAAGTTAAGATGATGGAATTTGCTCAGAAGTTGGATTGGAGAATCCAAAAGCAAGATGAACAAGAACTGCAGCAGTTTTGTGCTCAAGTTGGAGTAAAGAGACAGGTTTTCAAAGTTTGGATGCACAACAATAAACAAGCCATGAAGAAGAAACAAATGTAAGATCAAATTATTTCCCCTTCTTAAAACACCTGAAAAGTAGTAAATGATTCACTTAAACAATTCTTCTTTTTGTTTTCTTCTAATTCCTGACATGTTACAATTCTTACAAACTTTTGAAACACATAAATATTTGTACTACTTCTGAATTTTTATTTATTAAAGAAACACATCTTCTGCAACTGATTCTGAAACATATACATTCCCTAATTAGAGACGTTGTCAAAAACGTGTTAGAATGAACAATGATGGTAGAAAGATAAAGATAAATGTTGGAAAATTTTCCCCTATTTCTCTCACCCCAAACAGTGCATGTGTCCCATTAATCATGGTACCTTGGGTTGCTTCCAACCCTACCATAAGACATCTTCTATTTTCCCTCTAGAAATAAAGCCGGGCCTAACGGAAGTTGACGGCTTTTCATGATACTGATATGATTAATGCATATCATTATTTCATTTCTTCATAATTTCCCATTTTACACGGTTGGGGAGTTTTCCTATACCAATTACTATACTGGCCGACCCCCCCCCCCTTTTTTTTTTGCTAGTGAAATGAAACAAAGGCAACTCAAACTCAAACATTTGACTAGTTGGCCCTATTATTGCTATACTAAAGATTGAAGGAGACTTATCCTACTTGAGAGATTCTTTCTAGGTGCAGATTTGATGGAAATAGGGAAAATTCCTGATTATATCACTTGCATATATAATAGATTGGCTTGTCTTCCCTTAAGTTAGTGACACTAATGTGAAGTATCTTTCTCTTGATTTCCCCTCATAGGATATGTGTAGATAAATGAGCATATAAATCAACATTCGAATAACTTAATAATTGATATAATTATATATGGTTTTTCGATGAGTTGGTTCAATAATGGATAATCACACGAATATTTAACTCAATAATTGGTACCATTTTTCTTTTCAGAAGGTAAATAATTGGTGCTATTTGATTCAATGATAGATGATCCATTTGAGACTCAATTATTGATTAATGATATTCGTATATAATCCTAAGGAGAATATTATCCTTTATTGAGCTGGGAATTTCTAAAATACTTCAGTACACTACAGAATTAAGAAAAATGTAAGTTTTTTTCTCTTTCTTTCCAGCTAAGCTCATTGCAAACTCATAAGTAATTAACCGATCGCATAGGACTGGAATTCAAACCTTAAAATCATAAGTGTTAAAAGAAAACATAACAGGTTGTAGGAATAAAAAGATACTGTTAATAACTTGGTGATCATCTAGGATAAATGGGTTCAAATATTCAACTTCACATATATAAGTTCTCGAGTGAGAAGTGGCATACTTTTAGGCTTTTGCTGATGATTTGGCTAAAAGAAACGAAAAAAAGAGCACTCCCCAAGCCAGGCACCGAGAAATTGGCATGAGAGGTTGAAACAATTTCCGGTAAAGCTTGGGTTCAAAGAGTCTAGGGTTGATTCATCCTTGTTTATTTGGTGTGACGGCTGCCAGAACACATATATGCTTATATATGTGGATGACATTATTATCACAGGCTCCTCAGATAGTGATATTGAGCTCATGGTAGGGCTGTTGGATGCTGAATTTTCAGTAAAGGATCTGGGTGAGTTAGGTTATTTTTTGGGACTTGAGGTCAAACGAGTGGATGACTATTTGTTTCTTTCTCAACGAAAGTTCTTTCTTGAGTTGTTAATGAAGGCTAATATGGATAGGGCTAACTCGGCCTCGACACCAATGCTGCTGTCAAAATTGACACATGATTCGGGTGATCTGTTGGTGGATGCTAAGGAATATCGAAGCATTGTTGGTGCGCAGCTATATGCGTGTCACACGTGTTCAGATATCAATTTCAGTGTTAATAAGGTGGCGCAATTCATGCATGCACCGCGCCAGGGGCACATGCTTGCTGTAAAGAGGATATTGTGTTATCTTGGTGGCACCATGGATCATTGCTTGGTTATGTCTCCAGGGGATAAGAAGGTTGTGCTTACAGAATTTGCTGATGCTGATTGAGGTGGTAGCACTGAAGATAGACGGTCTGTGACTGGTAGTTGTGTGGTGTCCTGGCCTACTAAGAAGCAGAAGTTAGTGTCGACTTCGACCATGGAAGCCGAGTACATGAGTGTTGCTGATGTTTCGGCTGAAGTGGCATGGATCGATCGGTGCTCTTCTCTCTGATATGGGGATTGAACAGCATGGTGTTCCCACGATATGGTGTGATAATAGTAAGGCGGTGGCGATGAGTTGTAATCTGGTGTACCATGCAAGTCATCAGGTGGCAAATGGCTTCACTAAGTCATTTTCAAAGGTTGGTTTTGAGACCTTTCGTTACAAGGTTCAAGTGCAAACATGTATAGGAGAGGAAGGAAAGTAGAGAGAATATTAAAGGTTATCAGCAGGTGAAGTTGTTAGTGTGTAGGTGAAAGCAGTTAGGGTAGTTTGGAGAGCTTGATGGTTTGTTAGGCTTAGTATAACTACCAGAGTTAACTGCTCATGCAGCTTTTGTGAAACCTATATAATTGTGTACTCACCTTTAATGAAGATTACGTTTTCCCAAATATAGTTTTCTTAACTAGTAGGTGTGTTTCTCATCAGTACCAAATCCTATGAATATGAAGTTGATTCAAATTAGTAACCCTATAACTAAAGACTTTACTTCCCTACTTAACGAGAAAATCTTTCTTAAGTTTCAACTAATGCCCCATCGGCTCAAAACTCTATATATCCATCCTTTTAATAACATTGATCTTACCCACGCCATCCACAAGAAGTCTTCTTTAACCAAAAACTTCCTCAACAATTGAATAAATCACGTACAGTTCTAGCATGATAAATCTTTAACCAAGTTCACTCTTTGATTTTAAGGGTAAATCTGACTCCAACTCATCCTAACACCGGTGACCGAAACATCCACACCCATCTAAAAAATCTCATAAAATTTAGTCAATACGACGAACAACCTGTAACTTCTTTTGCTGATCCTTTTCTCTTTACTTTTCAACTTTCCCTTTTATGTTTTTTTCAGTATTTTGTGCATTTCCTTTTGGTGGAAAATAATGTTCTTGAAATGATTTTGAGAATTGTCGGGAGCAAAGTAAATGCCGACATTCGAACAAAGCGTTTCCGCATAGTTTCGTATGATAACACGTTTTCCATTAAAGTTATTAATAAAAGACAATATTTGATTCCAAGTTAACTCCATTAATCATGATAAATGGACTCGGTCCTCTTAAATCCAACATGAATGCAAAGATGATCAGAGAAGAATATAGTACAGATCACCGTCTTATCTAATATTGTAAGCCAACTTAAAAATGGGCTTTACAAACAAGGATGATCAACGTTATACATTCCTCATATGCTACTACCAATGTATAAAATATCCGACTAACATTAAAATGATAATATTTTTTAAAATGTACCTCGTTAAAAAAATCTCTCCTAATTGGATTAAGTCTAGACTCGATCAAAACAACATAAAGAAAAAGGAAGGTTCAATTATTTTATTAACCATAACAAGTACACAACAAAAATTTCATTATCCAATACAACCTATTCATCAAAATCAATCTTGCCTAAACCAAATTACCAACATATGGGAAACACCTGAATAAGAGACAAAATCAAAATCTACATACGACATTTGAGACAACTGTAACCGCGACCACATTACAGCTCGTAAAGGAACCTTCTATGGACACCCTTGAAGTCATACAATCCAAATAAATTATAAGTTTTACTTAACTAAAACAATTATTGTTAAGGATGGTTGCCGTTAGGTTGGTTACGTTGGTTTTTCTTTATTGTTAGGTAGTTAAGCTGTCAGTAGTGCTAGGTAGGATGCTATATATGTCAAGTCTTGTACATAGTGTATTTACACGTATGTGAATAAACTCTTCTTCTCCAAACTACTGTTACATGGTATAAGTTGTGATTTTCTTTTAAAGCTTTCTCTGCGTTTTTCCATCTCCATTTTCTCTGATGGGTGATGTATCTGCTATCTCTGATCAGTTTGAAAACGGTACTAACCTTACTACCTTCATCAGTCCGATAACCCAGGGATGATCTTGGTCACGCAACCTCTCACCAATGACAACTACAACAACTAGAAGCGTTCTATGTTGATGGCTCTTTCAACTAAGAACAAGACTGGTTTCATTGATGGTTCCATCCCTGTGTCTGCTCCTACATCGAAGATTCTTTTCAAAGCTTGGCAAGGGCTAATAACCTTGTTAATTCATGGATTTCGAATTCAGTGTTGAAGGATATTGCTGCTAGTAGGGGTGTTCAAAAATACTTGAATCGGATGACCCAACCTGTCAATCCGATCAAAAAATTCGAGTACTTTTAAAAAAAATCAAGTTCTAGGTCGGGTATCGGCCTGATATTTCGGGGTTGGGCCTGGGTCACAAAATTAAATTTTTTTCAAGTACATGGTTACCCGAGTACCCTGTTACATTTATTATATATATATAATAATATTACATATTTAATTATTAATAATTTATATATTAAATTAAACTAATAAAATTTAAAAAAATTGGGTATGTTTTATTTATATTATGTATTATTGAATTTTGTATTTCGAACTTTTAATTCTATGTTTTATATGTTGGAGTATGTAATTCGAACATTTAAATGTGTATTTTTTTTAAATTAATAATTTAAAAATGATAAAAAAATCGGGTACCCGTAATATCCTGGCCTGGACACGGGCAAACAAATCAAGTACCCGAGGACTCAGGTACCCAGAACTTTGGGTATCTAAAAACTCGAGTACCTGGATTTGAACACCCCTAGCTGCTAGCCTTCTCTACCATACCATTGTTGCAAACCATTTGGAAAGATCATGAAGATCATTTCCACCATATGAATACTCCTCGCATCTTTCATCTCAAGAAGAAACTGGGTTAATTGTGTCAAGGTTCTATGACTATTAGCACCTATTATACTCAATTAAATATCTTATGGGATAAGTTAGTTTCAGTAAAACATTTTTTTACTTGTTCACAATGCAATTGTGAAGGAGTTCAAAAGATGTTAGATGGACATAAAATTTAATTGACCTTGCAGTTCTTGATGGGTCTTATGCTCCCATTCGCACCCAAATATTGTAGATGGATCTTTTTCCATCTATTATTGATAGAGAATCAGTAGCGGATGATGATCATTGCTTTTCATTGAGGAATCA